AAGACTTTCTCCTGAATGACACCAACAAACAAACCACTTTCTATAATTTATAAGTCTATTTATGACCCATATGTTAAAAAATAGTAATCAGAGACCGTGTGTTTGTGTTTTAGATTATTTTTGAATAAACTGTACACTGGAGGTACAAAAAAAATCAAGTAATTAATTTTAAAATCCCAAATAATCCCAAAATCCAAATAATATAACGTTACAAGTCAAAGATGAAAGTTTATTTACTGAGTAGAAAAACACAAAGAACTATGAGTCTGTTATTTATAAACTTGTTCAAACAGTTTTTGATTACTGCTGAGATCTTGTCAGGTCTGAAACGATCAAACTGACACTAAGCTCCATGTTTTCAGTCCCTGACCGACTGACCGTGAGCCACCTGCTCAACTCCTCTCACTTCCCACATCCCCACCAGAGTCTAATCTAACCCCCCCAAACACCTCGGCCCTCCCACAGACCGTCTCCTGCACACCGAGTTCCTGCTCATCCATTATCACTCGCTGACAGGCTCCACTTCAGCACCCAGCAGGTAACGAGCTCCCATCTCTTCACTTCCTCACACGTCTCTGAGCTCTGCTCAYCAAGCCGAGCTGCACCGTGTGGARGAATTTTCTTTTTCACAAAATATATTGTTGTTTCCTGTTTGCTCTCTCAGCCTTGTTTTGCTCCARATTCAGTGGTCCTCTCTCATTCATCCATCTCACACTGAGGACCTGCTTGTGGCTCAAATTCACTCTCAAATCTTCACCTTACACATAAGACTGAAATATGTTTGACTGTTTTGTATCAGAAGATTTTTAAGTGTAAAACAGGAGTTCCACAGAGTTCTGTCATTGACACACTATTTATTTTCTTCAAATTCCAAAAGCAAAATTCAAAAATAGATTAAAATAAATAAAACCACTGTACTTTTACACTTAAGCTGGAGGCATGTCACTTCCAGGAAGCTTTCTCAACTGAAAATTTCAAATTTGAATTGACAAAGCTTCCTGGATTGGAAGCAAACTGTCTTCAGCTTCAGAATTGAAGTCCAGTTATTTTTTTTTCTTTTTTCTTTTTTTTTAAGTGATCATGACCTGGATGAATGAGAATCTTTACCGGCAAAACACAAAATTGGCTAAAAGTCAGCAACATTTACAGATTACAAAATTTTCTGGGGGAGCATACC